TTTCCTTCACATGCCAAGGTACAAAACAATGGTTTATGATCACTTGATGTCATTTCTTCATTTGCTTGGACTGTTATGTTTACTCCTAAAGCTAGTGCATAATCAATAACACGGTCCGAACGAAGCGCCGTATTAGTATCAGGTACAAAGGGACCAAGAGAGCAAGAATCCATCCATTCCAAAAGTTATCTTTTTTCAAATCAACATTGAAGTTTCCTAAGACAACGCAACGAATTGTTATGAATGATGATAATACCGCTTTTGAAATTTGCATCTAACTTACCTATCTTTTTTAAGAATGGTAATGTATTCTGACACGGCACTTCTCAAGAGACTGAATTCAACTCACTTAGAGATCATTAATAAAGGAGAAAGATTCTGTGCATACATCTGATTATCAGAAACTTTGAATTCTGTGTTGACGTTCTTAGTGTTGTATAGAATAGTTTGTATTTCATAAATAAATCTGATAAGTTGTAACACTGGTTTTCATGATAATCCAGCGGTTTTAAGATCACTAAACATATACGGAGCGAAAAGAAGTGATTATAGATTTTAGAAGTAAAACTCTTGATTTTCCAGAATAGAACAGTCTGAGTTCAAACCTTCGACAAGCATTGAAAGAAGTGGCGCAAAAATCAAAGATAAAGACAAAATTCTTTCAGAAATATAAGCAAGAATCTATTGAAAAGTTATCATGATCTTCTGTGGGAAAGTCACCTTTCTGAAAAATACTTTTGTGTTTATTTTAGATGAAAAACGCTTGATACAATAAACTGATTAATAAACGGATAACAAGTTTAAGCATGTGCTGCTTAAACTGCACTCCATTTACGCCTACAAAGTTTTAATAGACAATAACAACAATATACAATAACTTCACTTATTGCTTTTAACGCCAAACACGGTATTATGAGAGTATATCCAAGCGAAATCGCCTAAACTGGCGGTTTGGATGCAGCTGTTCGAAATTATTGAAGCTGTTCTAGTCTTCGAACTAGGTATGCGCTAGTCACAGTTTCTGGATGGTTAACTATAGTGGTGAAACTGCTGATGACTGTTCCTGTCGTAAGTATAAAACTATAAATCTTAGTTGATACATCCTGAATACTAAATAGCGTTTCTTACAAACATATTATGAACGTAGACCAAAATACCAAACTCTTTTCGACAGTTTTACACTTTTCTTAGTTATAATTATAACAGTAACAGTTAACTGGAACTGGTGTAATCCATGTATTGTCAAACGCAGACTAAAGCCCAATAAATTAATACAGAAAACATTGATGAGGAAATATATTATTGCATTTGTTTATTATTATGTTCATAAACAAACAATTAATCTTATATATATGCATAATGCATAAACGAAGAGAAAGAACATCGATTAAATATCAGCCAGAAAATAGTACTAAGTAAGAATAAAATACAAAAATGAAATAAGGTAAACTACTATAAAAAACAATTATTTTTATTAATTTACATTTTTTCAAACTGTCACATTCTGTTCATCAGTTAATATTGTTTCTTTTTCATGATCTTCTGCTGGACGATTATTTGTTGTTGTTTTTTCACCAGCTGCACGTTGCTTGCGACAATAATTTGATATTGTTGAACTAAATTGATCTTTTGCAAAATTATTTTTGACAAATTCTAAAATATAGAAACAAGGTATTTTAATAAACAGTTTCAGCACTCGAAAAACATTTTGCTACTAAATTCAACTTCTGAAATATTTTCTCCATTGCATCTGAATCTGCTTTTTTTATTGTTGTATATGATGTATCATGATGTTGATAATTAATATCTTTGAAATAACAAACAACTAAATTTCTTGCAGCAACTGTCCATTTATGTGATCCATTTGAACCATTCAAACATTTATAAATTCCTTCGGATGTCAATGGGATATCAATCTATAAGAGAGAAATTAGAAAAAAAATGAACGTTGAACTTCTGCCGTTGATTTTGCCGCAAGCTTATTGTATTAAACTTACAGTAATTGCTGATGGACCTTTTAAAACAACACCGAATGCTTCCACTTGTTTCATCCATTTTTGAGCAGATGGTGGTGGGATAGCTAACAAAATGTGATTAAAATGTAAATAGATAACAATAAGACTTGTGAATACATACGTAATGATTTATTTTTTTCATTTATTTTTTGTTGTCGTAATAAAAGAGTGTCCTTCTTTGACTATTCATTTTCTGTTTCTAAAAATTCACGTTTTTTTATTTTATCACATAATAATTCATTTTGTTTTTTAAACGATCTATATGCTTTTTCATTATTGTTATTTTTTAAACTTATATATAAATATTTTCATCATTTACATCAATATGTTCATCTACATCAGTTATTGCCATCTCAATTGTTGATGTGGTTACTGCTGTTGTTATTTGTTTACTACTACCACCTGCATAAGGCTCAGTCCACTTAAATATATCACATTTTAATTTCATTGTTGGAACAAATGTGACACATTGGTCATGTGTACCTGTAAACAAGAAATGTCTTAGTTGGCGGTTGTCTTCAAAAATTTATTTTATTCAACAATAGACATGCATACCAATGAAAAAGACTTGGCCTCGTTCTCGTTGACGTTCAGCATTTTGAAAACAACATTCGTGCATTACTATGACGTCTTTTATTGAAATACAATTACATAATGCAACAATTGCTGCTTGCGCTTCATCATTACTTGTATTTTCCCATTTCACGACAGCAAACTATTCATTGTCTTTTGCCATTTAAGAGTTCTTTATAGTCTGAAATCCGAATATGTGAGTGATGTTGAAGAAATCATGGCGAAACAAATTTCTTTCCTTGTATTAATATTCTCATTTTCCCCAGAAAGATCGTAAAACGATCGTGTGTTGTTAAAGAAAAAAACACCTAGAATAGTCAAAGAAGGACACTCTTTTATTACGACAACAAAAAAATAAATGAAAAA